TAAGAAATCAGGAAGGGGGCAAACACTTTTTCACACAACTGTATTTGGATTTTTGGTCGTGGTGATCATCCCTCTGTTAAGAGGTTATGATTTTGGGTTGTTTGTCTGCTTGTCAGAGAGATTACAGCAAAAAAGTACTGGTCTAATTTTCATGAAACTTATTGGAAGGGTCTTTACTTTTAGGAAAATATATCAATCACGACACACATTCATTTTAAATTGTTGTAAAATGTCCCATATTGTAAAAAGTGACATGTTCATGTCTTTTTAATTACAAAGCATCTCTTAGTGTTATGTAGAGATGCAGTGAAAGTATCGAAACGCTCAGTCCATGGAGAAAAACCCACAGCCTGTATTCAGACACCGCGCCTTTAAAGGAGCATGTGATCCTGCAGCGCCCTCTGCTGGGGAAATGCACGTAAGACAATACAAAATGATAGAAATGTTATAATTTAGAATTAAAAGCTATAATAACAGTAATAGTAAAACAGTGTAAAATAGAAGCTGAATTAATAAAATAGCTTAAAATTATACAACGTAATTACCATAAAATAATACATATCTAATATAGAATTGAAAGCTATAACAGAAATAATAGTAAAAAAGTATGACTAAACATTGAGAAAATTAATTATTTCAATTATTGCTGTAAATGATAAAACTGTGCTGTATCATTTATCAGTTGTTTTTTTTTAAACGGTTGTGATGTCACAACTATACTCTACATATAGACCATTTCACAGTTTTCTAAATGTTTCCCAGTTTTTCTTCTTGTTGCAGTTTAGGTGAATGACATCAGCTGACAGGAAGTAAACATGAACCCAAGCTGTAGCATGGCAACGTAATTCTGTTAAAACACGCTTCAGACAGACAAAAAGAAAAGAAAATTAAAGCATGCATACATGTTCTTGTAGAAACACAAAGTACATGTGTGAACCTAGAAGTGAGCGTGATGTGTCTCCTTTAACATCATGCCATCTGGCCTTGGCAAAGGTCTGCGCTCTCTGACTGACCTAGTTATTTAGATACAGAGCTTTCAAAATCAGATGACATGATTTTTACGAGATCTGATGGTATTATATACCACTTATTTACAGATTTTATATAGGACTTGAATGTAACACGTATGCAGGTAAATACACATTTGCAATTACATGTAGGTCAATATGACGAACAGTTTACATGCTTTTAAATGTTTAAATTGTATTAAAACTCTAAGCCACTTTATGGAACATGGTCAGTAGTTAGGATAGGATTAGTGAAGTTGGATTAAGTTTATCTTTACTGCACACACTGACTCTTGGACACATCCTTTAAATTCCTTTAGGATCATTACCTTCACATCCAAGTCTCTCATGTAAACTTCATTTCTTAAATGTCGTGTGTAGCGTTAAATAATGTTTTCTTCTTTTTTTTGCAAAACACATTTAATTGTTTTGTGTAAGTGGAGTTAGTGAGTTTGTGTTTTCTGGTCCAATGAGAAGGATTTTGGGAAACAAACGCTACTTCGTGGGGCTGCGGTGCACTTCTGCACACCAGCCACTAGATGGACCTTTAGTCACTGAAGTAAGCTTCACATGTGTACGTCATGGACATATTACATTGCTTTGCAACCATACAGAGAGTTAGTTGGGACTTTATTCTGGGCCCTCACCTTTTTTCGGTTCTTTATAACTTCCAGGTGAATAGATTCTCCTCA